GCCTTGATCTAATAAGCAATGTTTCGTTAAATCTCCCTACGAATGGGTTGAAAAAACAAATCCTGAATGGGAGTTTAACCCAACCTCCTCACATCACAAGGAATCCTACCGAGTGAGTTTTACTTTCTCTTCTCTAATTCACATTCTCATCAATTTCCTCACTACCTTCTAATTCTGTTTTCATACTTCCACTTCAAAAGGTTATTGCATATGATTTCGGGATCAAGCAAAACATCCTAAGACGCTTGGCATCATACGGCTGTGAAATCACGGTTGTCCCATCAACATGGCCAGCTGCAGAGGCGCTTAAAATGAATCCAGACGGAATTCTATTCAGCAACGGTCCAGGAGATCCTTCTGCAGTGCCTTATGCAGTTGAAACGGTTAAAGAGCTTCTAGGAAAAGTTCCTGTCTATGGAATCTGTATGGGTCATCAGTTACTTGGACAAGCTCTTGGAGGTAAAACCTATAAGATGAAGTTTGGTCATCATGGAGGAAACCATCCAGTTTGTAACAACAGAACGGGCCATGTCGAGATCAGTGCTCAGGTATGCTCCGTTTACTATCTACAGTTTACTACCACACAAAACTAGCAAAGTCTAATCTTTCAATTGTAATATATTTTCTAAGTACTATGGGAAAAATAGAAACTATTGATCAAAACTTAGTTATACATGTAACTCTAAGAACTTGTGTGTTGTTACATGGCTGTCAAATCAGCTTTTCACTTCCTAGTACAGTAAAAAAAACGTCTCTCTTCATGTTTGCTGAAGATTTGGATTGATTTTACTTGTACGGATTTTGGCAGAACCATAACTATGCAGTAGACCCAGCTTCTCTCCCCTCCGGTGTCGAAGTGACTCATGTCAATCTCAACGATGGAAGTTGCGCTGGTCTCTCTTTTCCGGCAATGAATGTCATGTCTCTTCAGTATCACCCTGAGGCTTCTCCTGGACCTCATGACTCCGATAACGGTATTACACTATTCTTTTCCCTCTTGTCTGGTAACTATCAAAACGCAAAGGCTATGCATTAATCTTTGCCTAATCTTTTCATATATGCAGCATTTGGAGAGTTTGTGAAGCTCATGAAAAGATTTAAACAGAGCACTTGATCTCGGGTAAAACAGTGATCAGGGAAGGAGTTTTGTTTAGGTGGATTGAAGTTGGAGTTGCGAAGTTTTTTTTGTGTCGTGTGAGAAATAGAATATCATTATGACTGCCGAAATAAGACAATTTAGTTGAGAAACTTATGCAAGTTTGATATTAATACTAACATCAAAAGTAGATTGCTTGCCATTTGGTTAGGAATTGGTCTGCGGCATTTTCCACAAGTGTGGTTTCCCTGGCCAATCCACTTGTAATGTGTATTTTGTAAATAACGCAAAATGTGCATTAGAAGTGGATTGGTCAAGAGAACCGCACTTGTGCAAAATACCGCAGTCCAATTTCTGACAAAATGACAAGCAATCCATTTTTGATGGCTTGTTTGTATCGAGCCATCATGTAAAAAGATAGAGACTACGGTTTTGTTTTTTAACCAAAGGCAAAGAGGGAAAGAACCTCTAGTACCTGATTTCGTAAGCTATATTATATTTATGGATCCCAAAATTTGGTTTCTGGTTTATATATATTTTTCTTCCTTATTTTGGATTTTCTGGTTTCTTAGGTTTAAAACTAATTAACAACTGTTCTGTGGTTGGTTTGATAAAATTTTGGTTTGAGTTGGAATATCAAATGTTGTCAAAAAAAAAATAGTAAAAATGGGTTTTCTAAACATTACCATTCGTTGATAATAAACCCTAAGAAAAATAAAAATATATATAATCTGTCTGGTATTGACAATACCGTATTGTACTTAAAAAGTTATAGGTCAAAGTTGAAGTTTACACACACCCCTCGTGGCTCGTGCCTTTTGTCATTTTGATTTAGTTACGTGTTGTACTATGTTTGGATATTAAAATAGTGAAAATATAGATAGGTTAACTCTTGTCGGCCCGATCCGAATTACTACATGCGAGAGGATATGTGAGCTATATGATAAAGAAGACCGACGGTCTAAAAAAATAAAAGTTGTTCCATAATAATAAACCCTAATTACAATCGCAAATTTTGATGGCAGGCGAGAGCTCCACCGCCGCTGCTTTAAAAATCCGTAGCTGCCGCCGCAAAGGCCTTCGTCGCAACCCCACGAAAATCAAAGAAGCAGTACTAGACTTAATAAGCTCTTTACCTGATGATATCCTACAACATATCCTCTCCTTTATTCAGACCAAAATCGCCATCAAAACTTCCCTCTTGTCAAAACGATGGAGGCATGTATGGTGTGGTACACCTTCTCTATCATTTAGTTGTAATAGAGTGGAGGCTCCTTTTATAAATAAAACCCTAACTCGCTATACATCTTCCAAGATGATGAGTTTTAAGCTCCATTCGAACTTGTCCGAAAATGTTCCCCACCTCGACAGTTGGATCGAGTTCCTCATATCACGTAACGTGGAGAATCTGTCTATGACTTTATGGCATTCCGATGAGTACAAGTTTCCTGATTTCTTCTACATCAATTCTTCTGTCAAGCAACTCTTTGTGG